TATATATACACAGCCACAAAATATTTCTCTATTACTTACATTCTATAATTCTAAAGAGATTTTGGCAGTTTTCCCTTAAGAAACTCAAACTCAACTAATATTTTAATTTCTATTTTGGTGGTGTATTATTATTATTATAGGAGTCTAGTTTTCTTCTTTCAGATTATTAAATTAAGCAAATAATAACAAAGCATAATTTTGTCTTTGCTGCAGTCTCTTTCCGACAATTTAAAATATTTTGGGATTTTTGCATGTGAACAGTAATAATGTACTATAAATCCCTAATTCGAAATATTTTTGCTTAAAACCACATATGTAGTTACATATGTACACACTGAATTGTGAGTCAAATTTTAAAAATTTGTATTTGTAACACTGGAGTATTCTAAAAGCCAGTATCAGATAAACCAGCTTAAATACTTAAAGGCTTGTATATATACACATACACTGGAAACTTTTCCTGTATAGCACCTTAGATATGCATAACAAATACCTATGGCAACATTTGATAATACTACAAATTTAAAACTGTGAAAAATATCTCAATACTTCTGTACTAAATTATCCTATGAATGATTAATATGTCTCAATACTTAATTTGGGAATCTTCCATAAAGCCTACAGTCATAACATACTAAAAGTTTGAAAGAATACTTCAAATCTTGAGTTAATGAGCAATTAACACTAATTATATGTTAGTTTAGGAGAACATAAGTATTATACAAGGCAAATACCTCTCCAGCTCCTTGGAATAGTATTGTTTGATCAGACAGTTTGTTCTTGGTTATTCGAAGAGCTGCAAGGAGACCTGCAACTGCAACAGATGCTGTTCCTGAAACAAGTTATAAATATCCTTGAGTAATCCTCAAACAGATTCTGCCAATTTCCAAGCTTTTATTCACATCTTGAAATAATCATAAAACAGGTTAACTGGTACAGAAGAGAAACCTGTGTTTGTCTTATCCCATGCTTGCATATGAGGTAAAATTCTCAGGCTACTGACATCAATGTTTTAAGATAGCAGCTTACTACTATTCTTGAAAACTTCCCTAAAAGAAGATTCTGTGACTTATCTTAGTGACATAATCAATGAAAGGATGGGATCTGGATTCTTCAGATTCCAGTTCAACAACCCACTGACTAGCTGAAAGAATTTAGAGAAATTACTGTATACATCAAATAGATAGTTTCCTCATATGTAAAGTAGTTTTACTTTATGATATAAAAGAGTAATACGTGCTATTAGATTCTGCCATGTAATTACTCTTGAGGTTTTGAAATCTATTTATCCCCTTCACACACAGAAGGCACATAGTAAATTATTGCTGATGATGGTATTGGTGCTCATATTTTTGATACATTTGGAATTTAATGTTAATAGCAATTAAAATCTAATTATATTGCATTATTTAATAGACTTTTTACCTATGGCAATCACTGTGGATCCCAAAGGTGCTAGACAAAACTAATTTCTTTAAGATAAAAATTGTATTTTCCTCATCATGTCTCATAGGCATAAAAACTTCACCAGTTCCAATTATATTACTTTACCATATAAGCATTCACAGATCACAGAGCAGTTCTCTTGCTTTGAGTGTAATTACACAGATCAACTTCTTTATGGCTTATGCCTGAAATAAAGCAGCAACTTCTTGCGGCACTTTCCAGCTGTATCTATACTTTACTCCTCTAAGTTAATGTTCTACTTACAATGTTTCCTACATCACTCAGCTGGGTAGTAAAGCCTAGCTAAACATTAAATACCCTTATTTAACATTATGGTTAAAACAAAGATTAGACTAGGTTTGATGAGTGACACAATGATGAAGCATTAAGGATGTCAAGTATCAAAGATATTCAACATTTCACTATCAGTAAATTTGTTCTATTCAATCTTTCTTTCTTGCATAATTAGGTAGTCATAAATAAGAACACAATAAATAATAACTGTTAAAGGCCTGTTTATCCCATATGTGTCTTTTATTTAGGATCACAATGTGTACTACAAAAATAAAATGCATGCAATTTAGAGTCACTACTGCAATAATTATGAACTGTGCTAAGTCATATATTATGAAAAAGTCACACTTCTATACATTATTTAAAGTGAAATCTATGCAAAAATATGGCTAGTGTATGTAGAGAATATATCATGACATGATTAGAATATTTTCCCCATGCAAGATATATTCACTAGAGTAATAAAACAGATGAAAGAGAATTTAAATTAGAAAGAGAGGTATAGCTATCCACTTACTAAATAAGAAGTTATTCAGAAATAGTAGCTCAAGCTATCTCTGTCTTGGGTTCTTTTGAAGTAAACTGGCCAGAAGTTTGGATCTGAGGAACTCTAAGCTCTCTTCCAACTGTGAGATTCTATGATTTTAAGAGTTTCTATAAGATTTAACCAGTTGAAGCATCAAAGTTGAAGCATCATCAGCAGCCACTGTATTTGTATTATTATTTTTATTTACATAGAATTGGACATTTACAGTCAGACACAAAATAATCTAAAATATCCTAACTATTTGGTGCCTTATTTTCATATGGTTATGCTAGATCACTCAAAACTCAAAATGTGTTAAGTTCACACATTATATTTAAAGATATATTTCAATTTTTTTTTTTTTTTTTGAGACAGGGTCTTGCTCTGTCGTCCAGACTGGAGTGCAGTGACACCATCTCTGCTCACTGCAAGCTCCACCTCCCGAGTTCATGCCATTCTCTTGCCTCAGCCTCCCGAGTAGCTGGGACTACAGGCGCCCGCCACCACGTCCAGCTAATTTTTTGTATTTTTAGTAGAGTCGGGGTTTCACCATGTTAGCCAGGATGGTCTCGATCTCCTGACCTCGTGATCTGCCTGCCTCGGCCTCCCAAAGTGCTGAGATTACAGGCATGAGCCACCGCACCCAGCCTAAAGATGTATTTCATATTTCCTGAGAAAATAATGTAAACACTAATCTTCCATTTATAGAATTAATAAAATCAGAAAGATATTTTTAGCACTATCAAAAATTTAACTTGAACATGATTCTTGTACATGGCCTGGTACTACCTTGATTTAAATTTCATTGCAGAGAAGGGAATACATGTAGAAAACTGAAATTTAATAAAACTGTAAATTTTTACAATAAATTATTCCATAATAACTTTTACTTTAGGATTTAAAACTAAGCTCTTTATAAATCAGACAGAATGTGTGCTTAGGTTTATCTTCGTACTATCAGTTTTATTTATTTATTTATTTTTATTTTGAGCCGGCGTCTCTCGCTCTGTCGCCCATGCTGTAGTGCAGTGGCACGATCTTGGCTCACTGCAGCCTCTGCCTCCTAGATTCAAGCGATTCTTCTGCCTCAGCTGCCCGAGTAGCTAGGATTACAGGTGACCACCACCATGCCTAGCTAACTTTTGTATTTTTAGTAGAGACAGCATTTTGCCATGTTGGCCAGGCTGGTCTCACACCCCTGACCTCAGGTGATCTGCCCACCTCAGCCTCCCAAAGTGCTGGGATTACAGGCGTGAGCCACCGAGCCCCACCTGTACTATCAGTTTTAAAGAGGACTTAACCCTGTTAGCAAGATACTAAACAGATCGAATCTTTCTTAACATTTTAGAAACACAACTTTAACATAAACATAAACATAACAACATATGGTTGTTAAATAAAAGTCTCACCTTTTATCAAAGAATAGCCTCTACTAATGCAATAATTTGTGAAATCCAGTTAAAATTACATATATAAGGCCGGGCACGGTGGCTCACGCCTGTAATCCCAGCACTTTGGGAGGCTGAGACGGGTGGATCACGAGGCCAGGAGATCGAGCCATCCTGGCTAACATGATGAAACCCCATCTCTACTAAAAATACAAAACAAAATTAGCCGGGCGTGGTGGCGGGCACCTGTAGTCCCAGTTACATGGGAGGCTGAGGCAGAAGAATGGCGTGAACCCAGGAGGCGGAGCTTGCAGTGAGCCCAGATTGCTCCACTGCACTCCAGCCTGGGAGACAGAGCCAGACTCCGTGTCAAAAAAAAAAAAAAAAAAAAATTACATATCTATTTAGTAGGGAAAATCAATATGTAATCAAATAATTATAATCCTCGTGTGCTACTAAATAGATTGGGTAAAATACAAGAACTAGAAGTAGCAGGGGGAGGGGTGAATTTCGGCAAAGGTCAAGGCATTGAGAGTGCATACTCCCTGAACACAGTATTGAAAGATTAATGTAAGAGTTTCAGAACCTCAGACAGGAGGACACAATGAGTAGGAAAAGCATATGCAAAGACATGGAGGCAGGGATGACTCCCTGTGAAAAATGGAAGATTGAACACACAATTAGTATTCCTTTACCCAAAAAACTCTACTAAAACAATAGAAAACTGCTTTTTTGAAAAGAAAAAAAATTAAAAAGACTAAGAGAAAAGGGTAGCAACAACATTTTAGAAGCTATCAGGCTTCTAAATGAGCAAATGGCAAACTGACTTAGCAGACTTGAGAAAGGTGAATTGTTGGCCAGCAGTGGGGAATAAGTGGCCAGACTGATACAGCAAAACTCTCAAGAACCCAGGTATAGGCAGCACCAAATGCCTCTGGAAGTGGTTTAAAGGAGAGGGTGAAAAATAGGAAGCTGGTCAAAAATCTGCTAAGAAGGCTGGGGAGCAGAGGTTTATGCCCTGTAACCTCAGGACTTAGGGAGGCCAAGGCAGGAGGATTGCTTGAATCCAGGAGTTTGAGATCAGCCTGGGCAACATAGAGAGACCCATCTCTACCCTCAAAAAACCTTTTTAAAAAATTAGCTGGGTGTGACGGTCCATGCCTGAATTCCTAGCTACCTGGGAGGCTGAGGCAGTAGGATCACTTGAACCCAAGAGTTTGAGGCTGCAGTGAGCTATGACTGCACTGCTGCACTCCAGCCTGGGCAACAGAAAAAGATACTGTCTCAAAATTTAAAAAAAATAATTATATATATATATATATCACATATATATATTTAACTGATATATATATATCAGTTAAAACCCAGATCTGCTTCCCTCTCCTTCTAGAAGATAGCCAATTTCCCCACACTCTGGAAGTTTGAAAGAAAGCTTGAGGCTCATTTTCTGGAAAGGGTCACTGGAATATAAGACACCAGGCATAATTGAGGACAAGGATGCCATATTGGAAACAAGATTAATTGAAAGTTTACATACTCAATACAGAGACCCTCCAGTCTTCTACTTAACTGAAAGAACACTGGCAGAAAGGTAGTATCAGGAGAGAGATTGGAAAAATCTTTTCTGTGGAATCTCAGCAGTGTAAGAGAAAGAATCCAAAGAGACTGAAAAGGAGGATTACCTAAGGAAATGGCCCAACCAAGTCACCTTACAGTAAAGATTCAGAATACAAGCTCCATCTGTATAACCAGCCTTCCAAAACATAAAAGGAGAGAGAACATAAAACACATGTGAAACTGTGAGTAGTGCAGTGCTGCTGAAGCAAACACAAATTATTAGAATGCAAAGTCATATGAGGCTAGAGAAGTTTTGGGGTCAGATCATGTAGGGCCTTCTACTATATACTAATAGTACCTATAGGTATATATGGCTATATATAATTATATTATAGGTAGCAGATGGTTCAGCGAATAGTGGTGGGTGATGGGTTTGAGAGATTTGAGGCTGGGGGTATGTAAACGATTTAGGAGGTTCAATTTTGAGCTTTTGCACAAAGCTTGTGCTTCCTGTTATGTGTTACTCTGGTGGCAATATCAAGAAATAGTTACATATAACCTGCACCACAGATAAATATTTAGTATTTTAAAACGTAGTTGCATTGAGGTCATGAGGAATGA